CTGTCAGGAAGCGCGCTCGGCGGTGTGAGGGGTGCCGGTGCGGGGGCAGGCTGCCTGCTCGGCGCGAACGCTCAGCTCGCCCAGCCCTCACAGCGCGGTGCTGCTGTGCCCCTGGGTCTGGGGTTGATTTTTAAACGAGCGACGTTCTTCCGCCCCCGAATAGCCGCTCTCGCCCCCAAACTACGCGGAGAGCTCTGCCTTGTCTGCTGCGACTAGGAAAAATCTTGCCCCGTAGTGCCGCCGCCGTGGTTCAGTAACGGGGTGCGGCTTGCTGTCTTGCAGGTGGCCGGTTAATAGGGAACACAATGAAAGAAGCAGAAATAAGGAGGCTCTTGGCTGCCAACCTCCTCTGTGTTTTTTCAGTTATTCTGACAGCGGTTGTTCCGGCCTTCGTCTGGGACGGATTCACAGTTTTGGGAACACACCTCGCGTGGCTGTGTGTTTGTTCTCTTTGTGTTAGTACCCTTAACATAATCTTGCACTTAGTCCTTAAGCCAAATCTGTCTCCTAAGAGAAGTTCGTTTGGTCAGAAGGTAAGATTTTTATTCTTGAATTGCTACCAGACAGTATGGAGGGGAAGCAGATTCTTTCACTGAAATAATCAAGTGAGAAAGAAGGAAGACAAATTTTTGGTGGCGAATTCTTGTTTTCCATGAATGAGCTGAGTGTAGCACCTTCTGAAATACGTTCTCCAATATTTTCCTGATGTTAAACTTTCTCTACCTGTAAATAACCTGTTCAGGCGAGCGATTCGGTGCCTTTCCGTTTTCTTGTCAAGGCATTGTTGTTTGTAGTCCCAGCCGTTGATCTTCCAACAATGTGCATGGTGGCAAAAATCGGCAAAATTGAACAGGCGCAGAACTCATTTCATAGCCCAGGCCTGACCTTCGGCGTTACGAAGAAACACTTTTCTCATGTGTAGTTATCAGTTTCTAATAACTTTAAAGGAAGAGAAATAGTTTTTAGAATTTGAGACATAAAATGGAGACTAGCTCGTTACAATTTAAACAAAGTTGGTAAATTTTAAAAAATGACATGGAAAAGTATCAAAATGGCTACATTTCCTTGAATGATGAAATTTGCATGCAAAAGAATCTAAATCTGGGAGAAATTTTTGTAGTTTGTAATGGGAGCATTAAAGGTATGAATCCCAATGAAATAGGTTTGAACGGAGCGAATTCGGAGCAGCACACAACTTGTTCAGGAGTGGGGGAATACGCCAGCATTTTGAAGTCAGATGGATAGCCTTGCACTCCCAACTTCCTGAGTCAGACAAGATTTAGTGCTCTCGTGTGGTGATTCTTAAACACTTAAGCAAAAATCCCTGAAAGCAGTATCTTTGTATGCAAAGCTTCTGTCTAGTTTTGCTGACTGAGGGGGATGTGAAATACACATTCATTATGGAAAACAAGTATTTTAACCATCTGTGATTTAAAAATGAAGCAGGCTTCGTGTTCTAGGTGAGATTTCATCCCAGTCTAGCGTAAGGAATAAATATCAAAAGAAAGTGTTCAAATGAAATTATGGATTTCCATTGGTGGCCTGATCAGAACAGACCTAACCAGAACTGTTTATCAAGTGGCTATGATTCTATATGATATAGTGAGTACCCAGAAACTGTTGCTTAAGTTTATAGAAAATTATATGTGTTTTGGAGATTCATAGAAAGTCATGGACATTTCTCAAATGGATTTAGAATTTAAGATGCCAAGTTCAAAATGTAGTGGTCTTTATTTCATGTAATTTTAAGTATTACATTTGATTCTGAATGTCTTTTTTTTTTTTTTCATATTACATATTTTCTTGCTTTTAAATATTTTTTCACTTTCTGTGAAAGGTGCCTTTTAATGAATGGACATAACACTTAGATGTAAAACAGAAATGTAAAAATATCCAATAAAATAATTTCTGTTTATCTTGTAATTTCCAGTTATATTTTTTTGTATGTTTGCCTTATTAGGGCGCATGTAAAAAATTTTAGATGGAGTGTTTTGAAATATGCCATGCTATTATCATACTATGCTGTAGCTGAAATTAAAGAAATAGGTAGAGTACAGTGCTATTGATAAGATATAGGCTATGTATGTTACTTATGTTCTCTTTTCTTTTGAAACATTATTCTGATGTTTTATTGCTCTTTTTTAGATATCCAGATTTCTAAAATGCTGTATATACTTTTTCATGTCTTGCATACTATTTCATGCGATTATTGTTCTTTATGGAGCACCTCTCATAGAGTAAGTCAGAAGACCCTGTCTTTCTCTAAACATTTTAAGGGGCAGTTCTCCTTGCAGATATTGGTATAGGTACTTGTATATTTCCTGGTACATTGGAAGTTAAAGGATAAGCTCCTGGCTGGGGGAAGAAGGGTGGCTGTTTTGGTTTTTGGGGGGTTTTTTGGTTTTGGGGTTGGTTTTTTGTTGTTGTTGTGGGTTTTTTTGGTTGGGTTTTTTTTGGGTTGGGGTTTTTTTTTTTTTAGAAGCTGGCTCTTTACAATTTCTGTATATATGGAGATGTGTTGTTCAAGACAGTTACAAACAACTCCTTTTACTTTAATATTTATGTTAAACATATGGGTACAAACAATTTTCCAAGTTTCATTTAGTCATTTTCCCCATATGATTCTAAAACACGCATCTTGCATATCTTTCATCCTTTTGATATTAGTGTTTAAATTTTTAGGAATGATTAAAAAAAAAGTGAGGCATGAAGCAGCCTGATTTCTGAGAGAGATGCTAAGTTACTGACTAACAATGGCATCATGTAGTTTGGTTTCATGGTTGCTTCCACAACATCAAACTAGAAAAATAAATGGAATAATGAAGTAAATATCCAAGCGTACTTCAATTCAGAACTAATGTTCTATAGGAGGTATACCTGTTTTTTTTAAAATGTTACAGGTATCAGGCATTTAAAATAATTACTGCATTTCAGTCTTTGTTGAGATAACAAACATATACCAGAATTCTTTCCATCTTTCTTTACTATTCTACAGAGTAAGAAGAAAATAGTTTATTCTTCTACATGAGGTTTAAGAAAGCATGAATGCTTTCACAGGTTGACTTAGAGGTTGTTTTTTTGTTTTCCTAAATCTTGGAACTCTTAGCAAATTTGTAACCACCTCACTTAATTTTGTAATATTCCTTCTTTGTAGGTCAGTGACTGAGACGTTTTTGTTTGCAGTTCTCCTGTCTACCTTTACTACTTTACAATGCTTATGTGTGCTGGGACCAAACATACAAGCATGGATACGGGTATTTAGTAAAAATGGGTAAGTTCTATTCTAAAGTTTCTGATTTTACCCAGAATAGAAATGGACAGAATTTATGTAAACAATATATCATGGAATTTTTTGTAAAGAAAGGAAAACTTCCTGAATTATGGGTGGTTTTCATATTTGTACTTACAGGCTTATGAAAACTTTTCTGACAAAGAAAATTATTATTTATTTTGAAGACATTGATTCAGAAAACTGGCTTTTTATTTTTGATGTCCAGACACTAAATCTCACTTTATATGTGTTTGAAGGAAGTAAAGTTTCAAACATACATTTTACTGGTGTAAAACCATTGTGCAGTCCAGTATGATGGTTGTCAAATAAAGAGGAGACCTGAGACTGAGCTGTACAGGGAGAATCTTGCACATGATTCAATAATACCTTCGTAAATACAGCTTTTGAAGTAGGAATAACAAGCCAAAACAAACACTATTTTAACAGTATTTTTAACTTGAATATAATGGTGAAAATGATATATAATTTACTGTGATCTTAAGTATGTAATCTTCACCCGTGCTTTTTTCAAATTTCAAAGTGAGCTGTTTTCAGTGTTCAGAGTTCTCAAGCATTATGTTTTTTTTCAAGAGTATGTTTAAAGTAAAATGAGCCTTTTTACCTCATTTTCACCTCGGTGACAGCCATGACATTAGCTTGTATCAAGGATAATGTATTTTTCAGAAGTATTCTCTCTCTTCTGCCTTATGTCACTCACTAAATAACAGGATTTTTGAAAGATTGGGACACTGAAACATAAAGAAGCCCCACGTATACTTGAGATTTAATAATAAGATGTTAGCATTCATTCCCTTTTAGTAGTTCATAAGGGTGAAGTCTTATCTCAAAAGAAAGTGAAAAGCTGTATAACGCTGCTGACCTATGGAGTTACTTTTGGTTTAAACTTCTGTAGAGGAGGACAAAAGTAGACTTTTTATAGTAGTTTCAGGTATTGACTTTTGGTTTATCTCAGTTCTGAGCTTACTGAAAAATATCTTGAATCCTTATTCAAGTCAGTTGTGCTTTTTTGTTTTTTATTTTCAGTGGAAGGGTTGAATAGACTTTAATAAAAGCATGGAGTTGTTTAGCTAAAACAAATCATTGCTGATTCACTTAGTCATCTTTGGAGGTTTTGCAACTGGAAATAATAGTTGAATTGATGTAACAGATGTTTGACAACAGTCTGTCTTTGTGCCAGGTTAGATTTTGAATGCCTGTCAATTTCTGTCTTTCCTAGTCTAGATCTTAATGTTATTTCAGCACAATTATTGCATAGGAAACAGAGTTGTCTTGTTCTGACATTTTTGCTGTGACAACTTGCACATACTTCTTCCTAGTGAGCCATGTGACGTTATCTGAATAAAATGTCTATTTAATAATGATGTTTATTTAGACTACCCTTTGAATGAAAATAGACTACAAAGAAATATTGTAGCAAAATTTTTTTATGGATTGTAGCAAGCTGCTCTTTTAAAAATAATCCTGTGTTTTTTCATTTGACCTCATGAATGAGTTGGAATGTCTTGCGTTCAGGCGTGAGCTGAGTGTAGACATGACGTATTAAAAGGTTGTCTCTAACTTAACCATGTGGAATGAGGTGGGACTGTTGAATGGAGGAAAAGGATGGTTAGGTCATATCAACACAGCTGTTTGCCTTGAAAGAAGAGTTTAGCTAATTGAATTGCACTGGAACAGCAAGCTGGAAAGTCTGATTAAGTGTATAGCTTAGTATGAAAAAGGAATGTGTTTTAAAAATGTCTGAATACAATTTAGACTTAAGTAACTACTGGCATTTATTTTTGTTATGCTTATTTGCCTATACAATATTTATAAGATCAAAATGTGCTTGTGCTATTGTCTTTGCAGAAAGACAGAAAAAGACATCTAGAAAAAGAAAGTTTATCCTGATATATCAAGTGTAAATAAGTAACAGATTAATTACCTGGCTATTGCTCTGGATAGCTTCCTGCGATGTTTTAGCTGGTCTAGTGTGAAAATACTGATATGCTTCATGTCTTGTCATAGGACTAACCATAAATTTACATTCAAGTAACTTCTATTGCATCATAATAGCTATGGTACAACTGAGTCAGTCCGACAAATATTTTTGGGGATAGTCTTGTGAAGTGCTTATTTCTTCTGCAGAGGTGCTTAGCTTTCTCTGTTTCTACTTGCAGCACTTGGAAGTGCAGTCACTGCTAGTAAAATCACTTCTAATAAGGTTACTACAAGATCAATCTTTAAGTGCCCATGCCTTTAGGGGATAGATTATATGTGCCATCTCATGATAACATGTCATCTGTGACACTGCAGGTTTATTGTTTGTATTATAAAGTTTGGGTTGTTGGCGGGGTGGAGGGGAGGTGTTTGGTTGGTGGGGGAGTTGTATACATGAAACACTTGCATGAAACACAACTGTAGCTCAGACAGAAAATTGCACATGCTTCACGTTTTCAAACTGAGTACACTTTTGAATTGGAAATGTCGGTTTGATGGACCAAATAGATTTCTCTCTTTTTTAATTACTTTAAGAAATTTGAACAGTTTGTTCTTAGTCATATATTTATAGTCTATGTACACATAGAATGTGTGAGAAAAGTAAGTTTGTGTATTCTACATCATAAAAACTTCAATTCTAAGCAGGCTGTAAATAGGGCTGTTTTCACTAATTCTGTGTTTGGAAAGGGGTGTGCCCATGTCAGCTACCTCTGGACTCGGTATTCTGACATCTAGTGTTGTGACCAATGGCATGACACTGATCATATGCTATCATAGAATCATAGAATAGTTTGGGTTGGAAGGGACCTCTAAAGGTCATCTAGTCCAACCCCCCTTGCAATGAGCAGGGACATCTTCAACTAAATCAGGTTGCTCAGAGCCCCGTCCAGCCTGACCTTGAATGTTTCCAGGGATGGGGCATCCACCACCTCTCTGGGCAACCTGTGCCAGTGCTTCACCACCCGCAGTGTGAAAAATTCCTTCCTTATATCTAGTCTAAATCTACCTCCCTTTAGTTGAAAGCCATTCCCCCTTGTCCTGTCGCAACAGGCCCTGTTAAAAAGTCTGCCACTGCCTTTTTTATAAGTCCCCTTTAAGTCCTGATAGTCTGCAATAAGGTCTCCCCGAAGCCTTCTCTTCTCTAGGCTCAACAACCCCAACTCTCTCCGCCTTTCTTCATAGGAGAGGTGCTCCATTCCCCTGACCATTTTTGTGGCCCTCCTCTGGACCCGCTCCAACAGGTCCGTGTCTTTCTTGTGCTGAGGGCTCCAGAGCTGGACGCAG